CCCCCGCCCTCGCCACTTTCGCGGCCCTCCGAACCCCGCCGCCGCCGCTGCAGGTGCTCCGCCCCCAGCTGCAGCAGGTTGCGGTGGGTCTCCAGCAGGTGTTGCAGGTGGCCGGCCGCCATGTCCCTAAGGGTGGGGGGCCAGGCGGCGTCCTCCGCGACGGCCAGCAGGCAGGAGGACACGCCGGCGTCGACTTGGTGGCGCTCAACGCTGGCTGCGGGGGTCGGTTGGGGGGCGGTTGGGGTCTGTGGGGGTGCAGTTTGGGTGCAGGTGGCGGGCAAGGAAGGAAGAGCCTTGGCAATGGCGGGGGGGGCCTGGCGGGTGCGAGGTGTCTGAGGCCGTGAAGACGCCCAGGCAAAGGGGTGCTGAGCGATGCCCGGCGGCAGGCCTACGAGCACTCATGAAGAGATAAGGAGAAGCATCAACGGTTGTGCGATCCCCTCCCAAACCACCCGCCTCCCTGCAGGGCCCGCAGCTGCCTGGCAGCTGCTATCCCACCCCAGACCCCTCACAAATGCACAAACTGGCGCCCTCTGCGCTCACAAGACTGGCATCCCCTGCCCGCCCACCAGACTGCACGGCCGCGTTCCAGAGCATCACGACCGACAGCTGCACGCTCTTCCAGGCCAGGGGGATGCGCAGCCGCAGGCTGGTCAGCAGGATGTGCAGCGTGCCCTGCATCAGCGGCGACACGAGCGGCTCGGGGGCGGGCGGCGCCGCGTCCACGGTCCACCAGCGGTGGGCGGCGCCGGCCGACGTGCCCCTGCGGCGGGAATGCCGTGCACGCGGCGGCGGGCGACGGCGTGGGCTCATGCATCCAGCAACATGCCATACATTTGCGGTGCATTCCCGGGAGACATCCCTACCGACATACTCTGTTCCCCATCCCCCTCTGAGCAAATCGGGCAGCAAGCCGGGCCGCCCCACCTTGTATCGCGCCCCGCGGGCGGCGCAGCCGCGTCGTCCGCCCACACGCCCGCCGGCTTGTCGCCCCCGGGGCGCTCCTCGATAACATACAGGCACATGGACGCCGTCAGAAACTCAAACAACTTCAACAGCGGTACATCCGCCGCCCCCAGCGGCGGCGCCGCCGCCGCGGCAGCCTCAGCGCCCCCACCACCCCCGTGCTGCCGCGCGGCGGCGGCGACGACCGCGGTTGCGCCGCTGCCGCCGGCAGCAGCCTTAGCTCTCTGGGTGTGGGGGGAGGCCGGGGACGCGCCGGCGTGCAGCATGCGCGGCAGCCAGGTCTCTCCCACGCGCACGAGGGTGTCGAGGCCCCAGTGGTCGTCCAGGCTTGATCCCAGCTGGCTGTCCAGCTGCCGGTGGGGGAGGGGGTGGAGATCGGGACGCAGCCAGCAGGGCCGGTCGGGGACGGGGAGCGCCGGGAGAGATTTGGAGAGTAAGACAGGCAGCCGTGCGCCGCGCGCCGCGAGGCGTGAGATTTCGGAAGACGAGCGGGTCGCCGAAAAGTTCCGGCCGCAGCAGGCTGTTGGTCGCACGCGACCCCATACACCACGTGTCGCCGGCCGCGCCGCCGACGTCTCTACCCCGGGACCCCGCCCACGCCCCGGGCGCCGACCCACGTTGTTCATGCTGCGCTCGACGGTCTTGTTGATCGACCTGACGCTCTCCAGGGTTTGGGACGTCGGCTCCCCGCCCCGCATCGTGCCTGACAGCTCCCGGATCCGCGCAAGCCCCCTGCTCGTCATCGCGCCGTTCAAGCTGCTGGCATAGCTCACGCGCGCCCCGATCGCGCTGCCGCGCCGCCGGCCGCCGACGCTCATGATGCTGCCATTGCCGCTGGGACGCTGCGCCGCACCACCGGCGCCGACCCCGAGGCTGCCGTTGCCGCTGGGGCGCTGGGGGCTGCCGAGCGCGAGCGCGAGCGGCGGCAGCGGGGGCTTGGAAGCCGAGGGGGCGCGGCGGTCGGCGGCTGGGGAGAGGGGCGGCTGCTTGGGCTCCTCCTCGCCCTCCTCCTCCCCCTCCTCCTCCAGGTGGTCGCCATCCACGCTGACCAGGGAGCTGAATAGCACGCTCCTGAATACAGGTTTTGCAGCGATGAAGGGTTGTTGCAGCGATGAAAGGAACCGTGAAGTTGCAGGGGTGACAGGTGTGTGGCATCGCAGGGTTTTAAGAGTGACGTGATTGCAGGAGTGAAGTGTTTAGAGGGGCAGCCAATCTTGGCGTCGAGCAGAGAGCGTTTGAAGCCACGCGGCATCAGGGCTCGAGCAGGTAGAGAGGGAAGTTCACAGTGGCAGCGGACTGCCGTGCCCTCCGCCTGCACGCGCGCACGGCCTGATCAAATCCCCGCCAACCACGAGCAGGCCCGTGCCGTGTCCCGCCCCTCTCCCATCCACGACGCGACCTCCGCCGCATGCGACCCCCGTCCCGGCCTGGCCCGGCCTGGCCCGGCCCCACCCACCTTCTTTTGTGCTCCACGACGGCCAGCTTGTCATCAAGCGTGTCCGCCGCCGCCGCCAGCGCCCCGTAGCTCACCTCCCGCCCCAGCAGCGACCCCGCGCGCCCGCTCAGCGCCAGGCTGCTGCTGCTCACGCAGCCCTCCAGCCCGCCGCCGCCGCCGGCGCCGCGCGCGCCTGCGGCCGGCCCGGGCGCGGCGCCCCCGAAGCCGGTGGCGCTGCCCTCCGCGCCCGGCGACGGCGGG